GGAGGAGGAGGAGGAGGAGGAGGAGGAGGAGGAGGAGGAGGACAACTGTGGGGTCATTGGTGCTCTCTGAGTTTGGTTGTTTTCTTTCAGACGTTTCATGACCCAACTAGGTAACCTCATCAGTGCTAGAAGGCAGTGGGGTTTGTTCTCTGTTTATATACCAAGTGATTTCATTAGAAGAGAATATTTATACTCATCTTTGAACTGTGGGGTTGTTGGTGCTCTGATCATGGTTATTTTCTTGCAGATGTTTCGTTACCCAACTAGGTAACATCATCAGTGCTAGAAGGGAGTGACGTTTGGTGTCTGTTTATATACCGGTGGCTTAACCTACATCAGCATTGGTGGAAATGGTCTTGATGGTGCCTTGATTAGGCTGTGGTCTACTCATTGTTTGTCTGAGTTGGTAGTTGCGTGACGGGGATATTGTAGTAAACAATATATAAGCAGTGAGTAAAATCAAGCTAAAAAAAAAAATCCAGGCTTTGGGGTCCAACTGGCAATCAAGATGCATCCAAGAAGAAAGGAAAGACACATATTTAAAGGACCATCTGATCCCGCTCACATTTACCTGACCCGCCAGAATGGAGAGGCAAAAAATGTTAGAGCTCTCCTCCCTTAAGAACGTCCATCTAGCAGGACCAAGGAGAAGGGCCTTCTTAGCGGTGGCTCCCTCCCTGTGAAGCATCTTCCCTACACGGATAAGATTGGCCCTCATCTTGACACTATTTTTGAAGGCCTCGTAGACCTGGTTTTGCCAATGAGATTGGGGACCCAAGACTGGGATGGAACCACTGGTGGAATTCAAAACATTTTACTACCAGTTATGTGGGTGTGGCTTGGTGGGCGTGGCAGGGGAAGGTTACTGCAAAATCCCATTCCCATCCCACTAACCTACTTTCCAGCTCCGTTCTCCTGTGCAGGGGGATCCTAGCCGATCAGCTAGGACTCGATAGGAGGCAGAGAATAGGTGAGGGTGGGGCCAGTCAGAGGTGGGATTTGCCGGTTCTCTGGACTACTCAAAATTTCTGCTACCGGTTCTCCAGAACTGGTCAGAACCAGCTGAATACCCACCTCTGGATGGAACCCATCAAATGGCTCATTTCCAAAGCAACAGAGGGAGAAGAAACAAGAGATGGAAACTCATCAAGGAGAGAAGCAAAATGGAATCCAGCAGAAACTTCCTTAGAATGAGGACAATTTAACCAGTGGAACAGCTAGCCACCAGAAGTTGTAAGTGCTTTATCGCTGGAGGCTTTTAAGAAGTGAATGGACTACCACTTGTCTGAAATAGTATAGGGTGTCCTGCTTGAGCAGGGGGGGCTGGACTAGAAGACCTCCAAGGTCCCTTCCCTCTCTGTTCTGAATTGGACCATTTTTAATCCTTATCCTTATCATTTGAGGGTTATCAGCAGGAGGGATGTGGAATTATTGTTCAGAGTCACTGTGAGTGACTTGGCTGCAGGGGTGGGATTCTACCGGTTCAAACCGGTTCACATGAACCGGTTACTCCAAAGATCAGCTGGGAGCAAGCTGGTTTGCTCCGACGATCAGCTATTGGGCCCATCTGCCCGCCCCAGTTCTAGTCTGTGCTTTATTTCTGGATTTTCCAGCTCAGCTCATTTACACGGCACCACAGATTGTCACCCGTCAGCTGTTTTACACACAGTTCTAAGCAGCAGAAGGTGTGTTGCAAACTTGAACCCCACCCCTACTTGGCGGACATATAAATTTTCTTAGATAAATACGTTCCATGCTTGGGTTAAGAAATTTTGCACAGATTTGGGAACCGGGAGATTAGTTCAACTCAGGGGTCGCTCGTGCAGTTTAGGACATGCCACAATTTCACCAGGATATTGTAGAAAATATTCAAAACAGACGCCTCAGTATCTTTTCACACCTAACAAATCCAGCTTGTTGCTTCAACCAATTAGTTTGCTTCCGGTGGTGCAAAGGACACCCATGAGTCCTTGCTGTGCAGGGGGTGTTTTTTGGGGTGAGATCCGGAGATGTAAATTTCAAAACTTTTATTGGTTGGCATTTCATTCCCTCTCTTAATTGCGTGTACGGCTTGACAGATAGGTCATGTTGAGATGTTCAATGCTAAGAGCCGCATCTCTTAATTAAAGTCCAAGTATGCAAATGGACACTTGCTTGCTTTCCTGCTTCCTGCTGGGGACCCCAGGGGTTCATTATTTTGGATTCCGTTTGAGATCGGAGAAGCCTTTCCACTTGCCGTTGGCTGTACTGAGGCCTCTGTTATCCAGATCACTCGAGGTGCTGAGATTTAATTCTACACCTTAGTGCAATCCAGATTTATGGGCTGGGTTCCAATTGGCTGAGACTCTAACAAGAATGTAGAGAAGAGCAATGAAGATGATGAGGGGACTGGAGGCTAAAAATATGAAGAACGGTTGCAGGAACAGGGCCTGGCTAGTCTAGGGAAGAGAAGGACCAGGGGAGACAGGAGAGCAGTCTTCCAATATTTGAGGGGTGCCACACAGAGGAAGGGGTCAAGCTACTCTCCATAGCACCAGAAGGAAGGACAAGAAGCAATGGATGGAAACTAACCAAGGAGAGAAGCAATGTAGATCTAAGGAGAAATTTACTGACAGTTAGAACAATTAATAAGTGGAACAACTTGCCTCCAGAAGTTGTAAATGCCCCAACACTGGAATTTTTTTAAGAAGAGATTGGACAACCACTTGACTGAAATGGTATAGGGTTTCCTGTTTCAGCACAGGGGGGTGGAATAGAAGATCTTCAAGGTCTCTTCCAACTCTGTTATTCTGCTACACTCCCCATGGAATCTCTAACTGTTAAAATACTTAAGAGTTGCCTTATAGTTGAAGGGTAATACACCGAAAAGGGGAGGAAAATATTTCTCTTAGGTCTGTTCCTGTAGGCCATGGAATTTCAGCAATTTGTACGAGAGTGGTGGGAGCTGAGAAGTTGTGAATGCTCCAACACTGGAAGTTTTGAAGAAGACATTGGGCAACCCTTTGTCTGGACTGTTATAGGGTTTCCTGCCTGAGCAGGGGGTTGGACTAGAAGACCTCCAAGGTCCCCTCCAACTCTCTTATTGTGTTGTTATTCTGAGTGATGAGAGTTGTAGCCACCTTGTTTGGGAATGCGAAGGTTGAGCATCATGTCTGCAGAGCACCAACTTGGAAAAGTCTAACCCTATACACTATGTTATAGTTATACCCTACATAGGCTGGACAAAAAGCAATGGGTGGAAACTAATCAAGGAGAGAAGCAATTTAGAACTAAGGAGAAATTTCCTGACTGTTAGAACAATTAATCAGTGGAACAACTTGCTTCCAATAGTTATGAATTTTGCAACACTGGAAGTTTTTAAGAAGAGATTGGATAACCATTTGTCTCAAGTGGTGTATGATTCCTGCTTAAGCAGGGGGTTGGACTAGAAGACATCCAAGGTCCCTTCCAACTCTGTTATTTTATATTTGTTGTCTTCTTATTTTGGTAAGGTAGATGTCAAGTTTCCAAGTGATGAAGTCCATTTAAAAAGAATATATACTAAGCCTAACTAACATGGCTAGACATATGTCCATTTCGGGCTTGACAGTAGAAGGTCTACATTAAGCCATATGAAGTTAAGACATGCCCCAAATAAGTTAGGATTGGCTAATTCCATCATCATCATCATCATCCATCATCCATCATCATCATCTCCATATACTAAAATTCTGTGGTTTGCAGCCCAAGTACATTTAGAGGGTGTCCTATGGGGGAAGCTGCCTTAAATTGTACCATCTGCATTTCTCTGCCATTTTCACAAGAATGTGTTCTACAAAAAGTTAAGCTGATGTAACCTGTTGAGGAACAGGTATCAGGCAAGGTTTAGGATAAAAAGGTAAGGCATCAAGCTTATCTCCAAGAGACCTCCATGTCATTTCCTTGGCAACAACGTAAACATGGCCAATTCTAGCCAATCTTGGCTGGTTTTGAATCAGACGACCAAGAACGATCTTGAGTATAGGAGACCATCAGCAAATGCCAAGCTGGGGCTAGACCAGGAAATGAGGTCTCAGAAGAAGATCACCTCGCATCTCATTGCAAGAGAACAATAGGGGCAATGTCTGTGCATTAAACTGACTGGAAGGAGACCATTTCTGCATTTTTCATAATTAAACCATTATTGGAGGCTTGTTCTTTCCTCCAAAGGACTTTGAGATATCTCAGTACATCCTGGTCTACCTTCTGCATCTTGAAATTGTTGAAATTGGCTGTTGTTGTGACTCCTCATCATTCATGGGCCACCCAATTTTTTCCCCATCTGTCAAACCGGTCGATGTAATAAGTTCACCATTCCAAATGACCAATTGAGGCACATGATTTGCACAACCGTGGAAGGTGAACATCTAACATCTGCAGAGATTCTCAGTCATCCAGCTCATGGTTGTCCCCAAAGTGCTTCTTCCAAAAGGCAACTGGACTTTCTTGTTGTTGTTGTTGTTGTTGTTGTTTTTCCCATGAAAACATTTTGCTTCTCATCCAAGAAGCTTCTTTGGTAACGAAGACATTTCTTGACAATTGGAACAAATTTATCCGGGGAACGCCTTGCCTCCAGAAGTTGTGGCTGCTCCATCACTGGAGGTTTTCAAGAAGAGATTGTTTGAAAAAGGGGATATAGGGTGTCCTGCTCAAGCAGGGGGTTGGACTAGATGACCTCCGAGGACCCTTCCAACTCTGTTCTTCTGTTGTTTATTCTTCCATTCCTGAAGTTTCAGAAGAAGTACCGCTTCATTAATCCTTAGGTACTTTATGAATACTAACACTTTATAACTACTTAATACTTTATAAAGTATGATTATCGCTTTATAAAACTACTTAGTAAGGTCACATCTGGAATACTGCATCCAGTTGTGGTCAGCACATTACCCAAAAGAACGTTGAGATTTTGGGAAAAGGGCAGAGAAGAGCACCTAAGACGATTAAAGGCCTGGAGATTAAAATGTCTGAAGAACAGTTGCAGGATTTGGGTTTGGCCAGTCTAGAGAAAAGAAGGACGAAGAGGGTACGGACAGGATAGCAGAATTCCAATATTTGAGGGGCTGCCACAAAAAAGAGCGGGTCAAATTATTCTCCAAAGCACCAGAAAGCAGGACAAGAAACAACGGATGGAAACTAATCAAGGAGAGAAGCAACCTGGAATTAAGAAGAAACTTCCTAACAGTGAGGACAATTAACCAGTAGCTTGCCAACAGACTGGACAACCACCTTTGTAAAATGATATAAGGTCTCCTGCTTGTGTAGGGAGCTGGACTAGAAGATCTCCAAGGTCCCTTCCAGCTGTTCTGACCCAAACCTTGTTCCAAGGAAACAAACACCAAACGGAGGTAACAGCAAAACCTTTTATGAATTCCGTTCCTTCATGGTTAAAAGGCTGTTTCAAACTAATTGTCTCTGATAAGAACGAGTCTTGCCAAGGTGGTGCAAGGCTGCCCAGAACACTAGATAAAGTTGCCAAGAACTATTTTAAACACAAAGAGTCTCCAAACACAAACTAAGAGAGTCTGAACGTCCACAAGGCCTAAGTGCAAAAAATTCTTTGCTTCCTGCAAAGAACTCCGGTTTCTCAGCTGGCTTTTATCTCTTAAGGGAGGGGCCACTACCTTGCAGCCTTATTCCCAAGTCGCCCGTGCTGCTGCAGCTGCTCTTTCCTTTGAACAGCCCTGCGCGCATGCGCACTGGGCACAGGCTCCTCAGGGACCTCTTCCTCGGTGCTGCCAGCCTCCACAATCTCTGAAGGCAGCACTCCACTCCCTGATGGTCCTGGTCCCATCCCTGCATCACATGCAGGCCCCTCATCTGAGTCCTCACTCTCCGAGACCTCAGCCGTCCACACCTGCTGCCGGCGAACCACAACACCAGCTCTATTCTGATTGAAGCTTCTTGGATGAGGAGCAAGATGTTTTCAAAGGAAATAAACCAAGGAAATCCAGTTTCCTTTTGGAAGCTGAACTTCCTTTAGCTCTTCCGAGCTATTCTATCTCCTCCTTCCAATGTTGAATGTTAGGAAGTTTAGCTTCCTAAATTTTGGGAAGTGTAGAGTTGTAATTGCAGGAATGTTCCAATCTCGGATGGCAAACCTCAGATAAAGAATGTTTCCAAGCAAATACAACTCAGGCAAACAAAGTCACTCATCTAAAGGAGGATTAGAGAGAGGAAGTAAACATATGTTAGACTTTAACTAGAGATAATTAATTGTGTTAATTACTATGCTAAACAGTAACGAAAGTTAAGCAGTAACCAAAGTTAACCAATGATGGAGGATAACTAAAAATGTGTATAAACGCAAGACTAGACTCCAATAAAGATCATCATGATTCAGTTGTTCATGATCAAACAACTCGACTGCCTCGTCATTACAACAGGGAAGGTCTTCCAAAAGACTGTTTCTGACCCATGAGATTGAATTCTTGGTTGAGAAGATGATAAGTTTCCTTTCTTGTTTCTGCAAGGGCCTTAAAGTCTACTTTTCTTCCTTTCTCCCTCTAGCTGCTTATCCTGCTGCCTATGGTCAGATAGGCCAAGCCTTCCCACAGCCACCTCCCATGATACCACAGCAACAGAGAGAAGGTGAGTTTTCTGACCTGGGTTTCCCGAGATCATGAAGCCAACTTCTCGACCCTTTTATTTAGGGTAAAGTGAATTCCTCTCCAGCAAAGTCCCAGCAAACAGTCTTTCATGAGATTTCACAATGACAGACCTTTATCGGGCTTGGAGAGTTGCCAGGCCTTTATCGGGCTTGGAGAGTTGCCAGGCCGATAGCTTCCAAACGCCACGCTGTAGCAGCAATGACTTGGCAAGAAGTCAGGAACAGACCTTCACCTTCATGAATTGAACTGTCTCCTGCAAAACCCCACTCCCCTTTCGCTCCTCTTCATTCCCTATGGGAGGGGCTGTTCACTGTCCACTTGAGCCTTTACTCCCGAGTTGACCCTTGTTCCTTAATTGGTTCCCTTCTCCTGGCAGCTCTGTGCATGCGCATACTGGGAATAGGCTCCAGCTATTCTTCTGCCTCACTGATCTCCAACTCCAAAGGCAGATGATAATTGTTGGACGGCCCTGGCCCCATCTCTGCCTTTGACGCAGAGCCTTCGTCAGAACCTTCTCCCGACTCCAGGACAGGCCCATGTTCCTCCCCAACCTCCTCATTTACCGAGTCTGTCGCCAGCTTCGTTGGCTGCTGGTGGGCCACAACAATAAGTCTTTGAGAGGCTGAAATGCTGAAATGACCATGGACTTTCTCTAGCTTCAGAAACAAGGCTAAACCAACTGTCCCGTAGGATATTGTAGGTATCCAGGGCTCAGAGCAGAAGAGACATCTTGTTAGAGGTGGCCAAATCAACAGTAAATCAAGGGAAGAGGATAAGTTATTTATAAGAGCCTTGGTGTCGCAGTGGTTAGAATGCAGTATTGCAGGCTGAATCTGCTCACTGGCTGCAGTTCGACCCTGACGGACTCAAGGTTGACTCAGCCTTTCCTCCTTCTGAGGTCAATAATATGAGGACCCAGATTGTTGGGGGGCAAGAGATTGACTCTGTAAACTGCTTAGAGAGGGCTGGAAAGCACCATGAAGCAATATATACGTAAGTGCTATTGTGATAGATGAATAGATAGATAAATAGACAAACAAACAGACAGACAGACAGACAGACAGACAGACAGACAGACAGACAGACAGATGATATACAGTTATGGTGTCTTGGTGGTTAGAATGCAGTATTGCAGGTTAACTCTGCCCACTGCCAGGAGTTTGATCCTGACTGGCTCAAGGTTGACTCAGCCTTCCATCCTTCTGAGTAAAATGAGGACCCAGATTGTTGGGGGTCAATAGGCTGTTTAAGGAGGGCTGTAAAGCGGTGTGAAGCATTATATGTCTATTAAGATGGATGGATGGATGGATAGATGGATAGATAGATAGATAGATAGATAGATAGATAGATAGATAGAT